CAGCAAATCACCCAAAAAGGGCAAAAAGAGAAAAGGGTTTGTAATATTGTGTGGGCCACACCCCTAAGCTTGCATTGCCTGGTTGCAAATGGTGGTCATATTGAACCCAAGGCTTACACAATAGTTCAATGATGTAAAGCTAGTGGCCAGTTTATGAAGGAAGCTGGCCCACCCTGGCTGCAATGTATGCCTGGCACCTAAACAAGTGCCGCCAAAATCTAATTCTTACCATCTGAACCAACTAAGGGGTCCAACTCAGAGTGGGCCATATTTGCCATGAGCAACTGAATACTCTCTGCATGAGAGAGCCAATAGTTAAGCTGCGTTAACTATGCCACTTGGGTCAGGCAATTACCCACCATGCCTTAGCATTATGTGTAATCATTAATGCTGCTTATGCCTCATGCTTAAGGTTCACAATAAAGACAGAGGCATATTGATTATAGCCTTGCAAGCAGGCTGATTTAGAGGTAGTTATACTGAATTAGGGGGAGTGTGGGTCAAAGACCCCATCCCAAATGCGCTAGCAACACTCCCCAAACAAATTCATACTCTGCCTATTAAACAAATAGTACAATAAAAGAAATTCCCAAAACTTAGCAGCACAATGACCATGATACTTAACAAAGAAACCAGATAGATATGAAAGAAATTGTTACAGGACCAAAAGGCTAGCCACGCTGCACAACTGATCCTTGTGTATTCTATAAGACATGAAAACTGACGACTGCCACCATCCCATTGCTTGAATGATGAAATCACTCTCCTCTGCTTGAGCTGCCGCTGTTGCGGTGCCAGTGTAAAAACTATGTCCATTGTAAGGGGAAGCATCAACTCGAATAGACTGCAGGGCTTTTCCCAGCTCAAACACCAAACGCTGTCTTAAGACTGAGAGTGTGTCACCATTTCTAAATACGATAAAAAAAGGTAGGGCATTGGTTGAAAGGACACATTGTTAAATAGGTCAGAACTGTCGACAGTGCTTATGGCAATTTTTGCCCCTTGATTATTCTTCCTTCTTTTGAGGTGCACCCTCGCTTAAGCGGTACAGATAGAGGTGAGAATCCCCGGCAATGTCTCCTGTTGCAAGCATTTCTGACTCGTAAAATTTATCTATAACTGGACAGGTGAACTCCCTGCTTGGAGAAATGCAAAAAGCCTAAGCAGACTGTCACCCACAGAATGGTTCTATCAAATAACACCCCTTCCTCTGACCATTTGGAGTGAATAGCAGATCAGATTATAGGGGCTATTGGGAGCCAAACCTGCCTAGATCCTTGGCTTGAATGCCGTAAGCCTTTTAAAACAAATGCACAAAGAGGGAAATAATGGGGTCGGGCAGACCTGCTAAGATGTGATAAAACAAGCATGCACTGAGGTATACACAGAAACTGATTGGAAGGACAGCGTGCTTTGAGCAAGGAAAGCTACATAACGGCAATAATTCTGCTCTACCAGAGGAAGGGGTTACAGCTGAAACACATCACAGAGGCTGAAGTAACAACTCAAACCAAATAGATATGCTGATTTTGTGTATGGGGCAATGCCTCTCCCAAGCCTTGAACATGCCTGTCCAAGCTGCTTAGCCCAAATCTTGTATCTCCCCCGCAAGCAAGTGGATCTGGGGAATGATTGACTTTGAGATGCTTACATGAAGAAAGAATAAAAGAAATGCGTTTCATTTTGAGACATTGCCTCCACCACCTTGTTTAACTTCCCTGGGCTGGGAATGGAATTTAAGTGAAAGCTCCAGAGCTGCAATACTCTCCTATAGGCATGATCCTTTGGCCAGGCCAGCCTAAATTACAAGGTACCTGGAAACCCCTACAATCAACCAAACTTGCTGCATTTGTATACACATGCTCTGATGGAATAGCATGAGGAGAAAAACTGGCCATTCCGTTGCTTCAAAAAATAAGATATTAGCCTTAGCACTCCTAATGCCAAGATAAAGTAATGAGGGAGCTTAGCCATAGACAACAGCTGAAAGAAATGGGCAACCCTGCTGACCCACTGTAGCTGCGCAGCTAGTGGCCCAAGTGACTAGCTCTTGTTTACAACATGCTGGTCTGTGAGCTCAGGCCTGTAACATTACTTGCAGCTTATCATCAGGCAGTCGCAGATTCTGCTTGGCTGAATCGTCACAATTCCCACGAAAACCACATAAGTTGAGGGCCTTCAGTCTTATGCATTGCAAATGGTATTCCAAGAGACCTGCATAACAGCATCACTTCAAACTGGCCACTAAAATGCCTGCCGTGCTAGGGCACTCAAAAAAACAAAGTCATCTAAGTAGTGCACATGAGAGACTAAGCCAAAGCTGGCAAAGATCCAGACCAACGTATCTGAAATAGCTGAGAATATTTTTGACGCTGAGCGCAAACCAAAGGAAAAAAGCAAGCATCTGTGCATTTGAGTAGGCCCCTCCCACACAATTCCTAATCTGTGGTGGTAGGCTGGATGGACTGGTACAGTCCTGTAAGCGTACTGAAGATCAAACTTTGTCAAGCATGTTCTGGGATCTAAGCTGTGAATGACTGCCGCTGCATTATCCACCAATGCATAACATACTGATGATAAGTTGGGCTTATCGCCTTATTGATGCTACCAACAGCTGGTTTGAAAGGTCAACAAACATGCACTACTTGTTAGGTTAGGAATCAAACCAGTGTGACTAGGGCAGATCCCTTCCAGCCCAATGGGTACCAAGCTACCTAACAGAATCTTCCTATAAATATACTTGGAGACCACATCCCCGTTGCAAAGACAAAATGAATGGTTCTGTGCTACTGACCGCAGCTGAAACCTGGACGTATCAACACCAATAGGGAAATCTTCAATCAGGCCTCACAAGACAAACGACAGAAACACATGGTAGGAATGATGACAAGCAATAATCATAACTGACTAATAACTATTGGAGTAGGAGCTCTGCCCCTTTTTGAACAGCCCCTTCATTGGCAATAAGAATCAAGTTGCAGCGAGTCAGACATGTAATAATCATTTACATAATAAAAAGCAAAATCAACAATTGTTAAAACTAAAGAACAATC